TTTATAATTTTCATTATTATTTTTTGATATTTTATTTTTATTTATTTATAATAATAATGTCCCTACACCTGAAGTACTTAAAATATTCAGTCTTCTATATTTTGTTTTAATAATTGATGAGGAATAAAAGATTTTAACTTGTTTTAACAATTGATGGTGGAAAAGAATTTAAATTGTCTTCACAATTGATTGTAAAAATATGTAAACTTCATTGTTAAATCCGTGTGTTGTTATTGTGAACATTACCTGTCTTCATAATAATGAAAATATTTACCGGCAAATAGCCTGGGGTCTACCGAGACGGTTAAAATAAGCTTAAAAGCATGCTTGTTGATTTTACCGGGACCGAGAAACTAGCCTTTTCCCAAAATAAAAACGGTGTCATGAGAAATGCTTTCCTTTTGACACCCCGTTTCTTTGCGGACACGAAGGTCTATGTTTGCTTCATATTGTATGTCTACATTGGTTTAGAAATAACACTAAGCTCTTGCGACTTTCTAACAGAAAACCTAAGAAAAACGTCGAGAGTGGCAATCTTTTGGTTGGACGTAAAAATACGTCCGCAGCAGCGGAACTGTTACAGATGGTTAAATAGAAAAGAAAACCGTTTTAGACTGTCCACTTCTCTTTCTCTCAAGGTGATAAACGTGGGGCTAACCTTAATTGACCTGACCACTATCTTTCTGATATGAGCAGGTATGGGCGGGAAAAACTCATCAGTCAACTTATATACAATGTCTCCTTGTTTTTAAACACGAAATTGTTGACAGATGATCAAGTTTTCTATTCTGACAAGTGCCTATTGTTGGAAGATTTTATATGTATGTCGTTACTGACTTGTTACTTTTTAGCCCACGGCAATTTAATTGTCTTCATATATGTTCCAGCCAAGCCTTGTATGGGAATCAAATTAACAGTGATTTAACAAAGGAAAGGGTATTTATTCAAATTGTACTTACTTTTTGCACGTAGCGTCATAACAACGTGTAGAAAGTGAAATTAATTTTTTAATATCTACATTATTTACATTCAGACTAATGTTTTCATCTTGTTGGTTGCCACAACGTTTCGGCTGTTGTTTCTATGGCATTCTTCAGATGTCTTTCGATCCGGGTAACTAATAATTATTGTCCTTCCGCTTTCGGTGTTTAGGTACATCAGGTTTATTTATCTTTTTTTTTTTTCTTTTTTTTTTTTTAATTTAGTATTGCCCAGTTATTGCACGCCCTGTTTTCACCTAGACCAATGATTTCCAACGTGGGTCATGGTAATATTTGGGTGGGGCATGCGTAGGATGTGCACGCTTCGGTTTACTATACCAACGTGAGCTCAAATTTCATTTTGCATTATTATTTCATGGTTAAAATGATGAAAGTATATTATAGAATAAGCTTTCATTTATTTTTATATTTCTACCTTTCAGTTCTAAACTCTCATATGAACGTCATACATGTCGTCCAGATCATTTATAAACTACGAGGTGTGTCAGAATGTGACTTTAGTGCCGTAAATGATTTGTTATTGAAGAAAAGAAATCAACTGGATATCACTAAACGAGGAGACTTGAGGCTTAAGCTGACTAAATTAGTGCCTAATATAAAATCACTATCTGTAGCAGTCATGACGCACAAGGATCTCACTAACAGTCATTCTGGGATAAGCTCAAATTTCATTTTGCATTATTATTTCATGGTTAAAATGATCAAAAGTATATTACAGAATAAGATTTCATTCAAATATTTTATATTTCTACTTTTCAGTTCTCCATTATGCTTTGAAAGTACACATATATATATATATATATATATATATATATATATAATTTAACTGTCTTTTTGTTTTTTTTTAATTTTTCTCTTTCTTTGGAGGCTTGTTTAGAGACCAAGCTTCCTTCACGTGAATTATAGTAAAATTTTAATATGTAAGAATTAAATATTACCGGCGGGGGGCACCAGAATTTTAGAAATACAAAAGTGGGACATGGCCCAAAATCGGTTGGGAACCACAGACCTAGGCTCTGTCTGTGCTACCTGGCCCAGAGATTGAACTCACAATAACTATGCCACTAAATTCAAAAACCAACGTTTTAATCCTGTGAAACGTTTGTGAAGCTAGAGTTTGGAACTTTAAACTTAATATTCTTATTACCTCAGACCCGGGGTGGGGGGAATCGCAATAAACGAGCAGTACAAAAAAGGCAAATACCCCTAGACAAGGAGAGGAGAACAAGACCAATCCATCCCCGTGGGTGAAGGATTCAGTTCAAAATTCTCAGAAGGATACACGGATCTACAGACGCCTAAAAAAATTCGACGTGGGGGTGCAAAATAACTGAAACGTTGTGATAATAACAACAAAGATGGGGATAATCGTCCGAATGTAAATAATCATAATTCCTCATCCCAGAAATTCAGACCAAAATTATCAAATGGTACGGACTCGATCTGATACACCAATGGTATAATAAAAATGATGACAATAGTCCGAATGTAAAGAGCATACCGTATATTTCCGTGTATAAGGCGACCTTTAGATAAGACAAGGTCAGAAAATATAGCAAATTTTCATGAATTTATCCCATACCTGTACGATAAGACTACTGCTTATTGAATATATAAAGATGATTTGATCGGAAATATTATTACTTACTGTATCCTTATAAATTCAAAATAAACGTAATAACAAAACCAATTCTATATCAGGTTTTTCCTGCACAGCCCCCCCTTTTATCACGTGATCTCTTGCGAACACTGATTCGTCTTTCTTTTCTTTCTTTTCTTTTCCTATATCTAAAAAGTTACAAACAGCCTGGTGTACTAATGGCCATTGATTTATACTTCATCGACAATCACAAAATACCGATAATAACAGTACGGCTGTATGTAATTCTAAATTGTTTTATTATTTAACACCAAAATGATAATGAATTTTTAACGAGAAATAAATATTATGTCATCGCACATGTTATTACTGCCTTAATTAACCCTACCATGAAGATTATTGAAAATTTAGCAAAAGATAAAGAGTTGCTGTAAACAAAATCTTAACTCAATGTTTATATTTTCTCAGCTGAGCTTCCATGAATACAAGTTGATTTCATTAATATGAAATTATTCTTTGAATAGGCAATTTATTATGAATTTATTCCTGAATATAAAAGGTAGATATGGTTTTATTTCTTTTATTATCAATTTATTTGATAATGTGAATCTTTGCATGTACGTTATTAGTTATCGCACCAAATACGAGGCTAGCCTACCGACAAACATCCCTCGTAATTTAAGGTTTCATTTTTTTTGGAATTGTAATATAAGACGACTCCCAAATTTTAAGTGTGATTTTTGGGCTTTAAAGGTCGTCTTATACGTGGAATTATACGGTGCTTTTCAAAAAGGTAGTATTTGATGAGGAACGTAATATCAGCGTAAGAGAAGGTGGTAGAAGCTGACGAGAATAAGGAGGAAAGATAACGCTTGACTTCTGACTTGAAGAGGTCAAGCGTTCAATGTGAGCACCCACGCAGGAGTCTGTTCCACAGAGCGGCAGTTCTTGGAGAGAAAAATTCTATCTGAGTGAGTCCTTGTCTCTTACATTTGGAACACCGGAGAAATGATGGTGATTTGACTCTGTGGAAGTGGCATGGTGTAACTAAAGAATCGAATTTATCTGAACATTTGCCATGGAAATAGCAATATCGCAGCGATAGTCTTACAACGTTGAATCTGGAAGAAGGACGCAACATTGGAAACCACCCGTGAACCTCCACAGCAACATGGTCAACTGTATGAAACTGCTTCCCAGATAAAGGTACATTCTATGATATGGAAGCATAACATTTTTAATTGATGGAGTCTGAATTATTTACATTTTTTCAGCTGAGCTTCCATGGATACAAGTTGATTTCATTAATATAGAATTATTCTTTGAATAGGCAATTTATTATGAATTTATTCCAGTAATATAAAAGGTAGATATGGTTTTATTTCTTTTATTATCAGTTTATTTGATAATGTGAATCTTTCCATGTATGTTATTAATTATCGCACCTACCGACAATCACTTGGAATTTAAGATCTTTTTTAGAATTATAGTATAAGACGACCCCCAATTTTTAAGGGAAATTTTGGGGAGTTAAAGGTCGTCTTATACGCGGAAATATACGGTAAATAAATCATCCCAAAAATTAAAACAGAAATAATTCTTTACCTAAAGCAGTGCTAAATATACTCGAATACGACACCCTCAGAAAAACGTATACAATAATTTTTTGTGTATAATGCGCTTTTTTTTTTTTTTTAAGCGTAAAATTTAGGGGTGCGTATTGTACACAAGAATTAAATACTGAATTTTTTCGGGGCAGTATGATCAAAAATGTCTCATCTTCTGCTCTGTTGGTTCGGACCAGTCAAACTTAGCCTTAGATCATCCAAACGAACCAAACCACCCCCATGAAACAGATTGACTGGAAAGAGGTCACATGCAGTCAAGACTTCTCGAAAAACTACGCTCTTGAAGTATACAATAGATTCCCGTCTTTGTCCACTATTGATATCACCACAGATAACGTTGAAGAAGTGTATGCTCGTCTTATTTCATCTACTGGGGAAGTATCCCTTGCAACTCTCCCTAAAAAGATGACTAGCGGCCGAATAAAATCCAATAATTCCTATCGCATGGTCGAGTGAAGAGCCAACCTGAAAGCTATCTTACAATCCTACCACCAGTCCCCATCTCAGGTAAAGAAGATACAGCAAACAGAGACTTGATAATGCTTATTTTGAAGCTGAATCTAACCACATCAACAAGGCAATATATAGTGACCTTTCAAGACAACACATCAGCGAGCAACACCATCTAGCCTAGAAAACTATAAAAGACCTTTCCGGCTAAAATTCTGGCTCCACCATCAGAACCAAGGGAGGATCCACCGAGAAAAACAGGTCAAACCATTTCAAGAATTTACTTGGTAAAGAAGTGTTCAAATTTTAGATCCTCTAGAGATTGACACTTCTCCCTTCTTGATCAGTGAGCTTAAAGCAGCAACCAAACAACTCAAAGGTTCCAAAAGATTTGGTCCAGACAACACCCCAGCACTTATCTGGAAAAATGAGCATTTTCAACAGCTCCTACTCAACCGTCCCTCCTCTCTTTTCATTCCTCGCTTTCTCTCCTCTCTTTCCCCTTTCCTCTATCTCCCCCTCTTTTCATCCCTGTTCCCTCGCCTTCTCACTTTCATTTCATCCCTCTTTCCTCCCACTTTTCGTCTCTCTTTCCTCCCACTTTTCATCCCTGTTCCCTCCTCTTCTCACCCCTGTTCTCTCCCTTTTCCTCCCCTTCTCACCCCTGTTCTCTCCCTTTTTCACCCCCTTTTCATCCCTCTCCTTCTCACCCTTTTCATCCATCTTCCTCCCCTTCTCATTCCTGTTCCCTCCCTTTCACACCCCCTTTTCATCCCCCTTCCCTTTTCATCATTTCGGACCATGATTCGGCAAAATTGTTGCAGAGAACATTTACGAATTTGGGGTTCTTTTACAAGTGAAATATTGACATGAAACGGGTTAATATTGGCTCAAAATCACGCCTCCGTTTCAAATAAATGCCGTGAATTCAAAGAATGATGTTTCTAAGAATTAATACATTTTCACTGTTTCTTTATGCTTTGGGTAAAATCTCTCGATTTTTCTGAATTTAGAAATCTAAATCACCATGTTTTAAGATTTTTAAGGGGACAGGTCTGTGGAGTTAGATTTCCAGACAGGTTTGCTCTTAACTGTTAGCAAACTCGAAGGAAGTGGAAGGGAGATGTTACGCAAAGGTTGAGTGTATTTGAACAATTTGTTCAGTCTGTTTTTTGTGGCCATCTTACTCATCAATTGCTGTTTCTCGACAGACATTTCACAAGTCTCTTAAAATCATTCTACCAGTAAATAAAGGACTTTGTTTAGCTAACCTTGACCAAAAGTAAAAAAAAAAATTAAAAACGGTAAATACGTCACCTGCTTATTAAAACACTGGTAAAAATGGGGCCACGTGGGCCTTGAACTGCAGGCAAGGCGTACAATACTAGCGTCTCTGCTAAATTTAAACCAGACATATGTAAGGTCGTTTTTGCCTTTTGGTGTTTGTTTTAATTTGCTTTTCTTTTTTAACCTGTTGCAACGGAGACATCAACAACAGCAGCAGCTTTTTTTCCACCTTAGGCGTCTTTTTATGCTTTCACGTTTTGCCCCACTACTGACATTCCATTGAAAAAAAAAAAAAAAAAAGAATTGCTTTAGGTGAATTCATAATGGCTTTGTCGATGGTCTTTTCGAAGTCGTTCTATTTCTATAGCAGCTGTACGTTTTCGCTGACAACATGTGATCCTTTTGTTGTGCTCGCCGGCAACTACTAGAGTCTAATTGTTATTCCTTTTTTTCCTCTTTGTGTTTCCTTTTGTTCACTTTTATTTTTCTCTTGCTTTATCTTCTCTTTTTCTTTCTCTTTTTTCTCCTCCTTTCTCCTTCTCATCGTTTCCCCTCCTTTCTCTTTCTTCTTCTTTTCTCCACCCCTTTCTCTCTCATTTCTCTCGTTTTCCCTTCCCCCTTTCTCTTACATACTCTCGGTTTCCCACGTTTGCTTTCGTTTCACACCCTTCTCTTCCCATTTCTCTCGTTTTCCCACCCGCTTTCTTTTTCAGTTCTCTTTTTTTTCTACTCCTCCTCTTTCTCTTCTTCTCCCGCACTTCTCGCTTGTGGAACTCTTCCGGCTTCTTGCTTCCCAGACAAATTTCTCTTTCTCATCTCTTCCCCGCACACTTTCTCTTTCTCGTCTCTTTCCCCTCCACTTTCTAATCTCTTTCCCCTCCACTTTCTAATCTCTTTCCCCTCCACTTTCTAATCTCTTTTCCCTCCACTTTCTCGTCTCTTTTCCCTCCACTTTCTCGTCTCTCTTCCCTCCACTTTCTCGTCTCTTTTCTAGTTTTCCACCTCTTTCTGATTTTTTTTCTGAATCCTTTTTCAGTTTTCTTTTTTTTCTACTCCACCGCTTTCTGTTCTACTGATGCCAAATCTTTTTTTTGTCTCTTTTTTTTCTCCATCTCTTTACCGCCCCCCACCCAATCCCTGTCCCGTCTCTTTCCCCCACACCCACACGCTGTCCCATCTCTTTTTCCCCCACACGCTGTCCCGTCTCTCTTTTCCTCCACCTCTTTCTCGCCTCTCTTTTTTGCACCAACGCCTTTCTCGCCTCTCTTTTTTGCACCAACGCCTTTCTCGCCTCTCTTTTTTGCACCAACGCCTTTCTCGCCTCTCTTTTTTGCACCAACGCCTTTCTCGCCTCTCTTTTTTGCACCAACGCCTTTCTCGCCTCTCTTTTTTTGCACCAACGCCTTTCTCGCCTCTCTTTTGCACCAACGCCTTTCTCGCCTCTCTTTTTTGCCCAACGCCTTTCTCGCCTCTCTTCCCTCTCGCCTCTTCTCGCCTCTCTTTTTTTGCCCTCGCCTCTTTTTTTTGCACCAACGCCTTTCTCGCCTCTCTTTTTTGCTCCAACGCCTTTCTCGCCTCTCTTTTTGCACCAACGCCTTTCTCGCCTCTTTTTTTTGTCTCTCTCGCCTCTCACTTTCTCGCCTCTTTTTGCTTTCTCGCCTCCAACGCCTTTCTCGCCTCTCTTTTTTTGCCTCCACCTTTCTCGCCTCTCTCTTTTTGCACCAACGCCTTTCTCGCCTCTTTTTTGCACCAACGCCTTCCGCCTCTTTTTGCCCAACGCCTTTCTCGCCTCTCTTTTTTGCACCAACGCCTTTCTCGCCTCTCTTTTTGCACCAACGCCTTTCTCGCCTTTTTTTTTTGCACCTTTCTCGCCTCTCTTTTTTGTCTCCTTTTCTCTCTTTTTGCACCAACGCCTTTCTCCCTCTCTTTTTTGTTCAACGCCTTTCTCGCCTCTCTTTTGCACCAACGCCTTTCTCGCCTTGTCTCTTTTTTTTTTCTCCAACGCCTTTCTCGCCTCTCTTTTTGCACCAACGCCTTTCTCGCCTCTTTTTTGCACCCCCTCGCCTCTCTTTTTGCCAACGCCTTTCTCGCCTCTCTTTTTTTTGCCAACGCCTTTCTCGCCTCTCTTTTTTGCACCAACCCTTTCTCGCTTTTTTTTGCACCAACGCCTTTCTCGCCTCTCTTTTTTTTTTTTCTCGCCTCTCTTTTTTGCCTCTTTCTCGCCTCTCTTTTTGCCAACGCCTTTCTCGCCTCTCTTTTTTTGCACGCCTCTCTCGCCTCTTTTTTTGCACCAACGCCTTCTCGCCTCTTTTTTTTCTCCCCTCTTTTGCGCCGCCTTTCTCGCCTCTCTTTTTGCACCAACGCCTTTCTCGCCTCTCTTTTTTGCAAACGCCTTTCTCGCCTCTCTTTTTGCCAACGCCTTTCTCGCCTCTCTTTTTTTTCCAACGCCTTTCTCGCCTCTCTTTTTTTGCCAACGCCTTTCTCGCCTCTCTTTTTTGCACCAACGCCTTTCTCTCCTCTCTTTTTTTGCACCAACGCCTTTCTCGCCTTTTTTGCACCAACGCCTTTCTCGCCTCTCTTTTTTGCACCAACGCCTTTCTCGCCTCTCTTTTTTGCACCAACGCCTTTCTCGCCTCTCTTTTTTGCACCAACGCCTCTCTCGCCTCTCTTTTTTGCACCAACGCCTCTCTCGCCTCTCTTTTTTTTGCACCAACGCCTTTCTCGCCTCTTTTTTTGCACCAACGCCTTTCTCGCCTCTCTTTTTTGCACAACGCCTTTCTCGCCTCTCTTTTTTGCACCAACGCCTTTCTCGCCTCTCTTTTTGCACCAACGCCTTTCTCGCCTCTCTTTTTTTGCACCAACGCCTTTCTCGCCTCTCTTTTTTGCAACCAACGCCTTTCTCGCCTCTTTTTTTTGCCAACGCCTTTCTCGCCTCTCTTTTTGCACCCTTTCGCCTTTCTCGCCTCTCTTTTTGCACCAACGCCTTTCTCGCCTCTTTTTTTTGCACCAACGCCTTTCTCGCCTCTCTTTTTTTTACCAACGCCTTTCTCGCCTCTTTTTTGCACCAACGCCTTTCTCGCCTCTCTTTTTTTGCCCAACGCCTTTCTCGCCTCTCTTTTTTGCACAACGCCTTTCTCGCCTCTCTTTTTTGCACCAACGCCTTTCTCGCCTCTCTTTTTGCACCAACGCCTTTCTCGCCTCTTTTTTGCACCAACGCCTTTCTCGCCTCTCTTTTTTGCACCAACGCCTTTCTCGCCTCTCTTTTTGCACCAACGCCTTTCTCGCCTCTCTTTTGCACCAACGCCTTTCTCGCCTCTCTTTTTGCACCAACGCCTTTCTCGCCTCTCTTTTTTGCACCAACGCCTTTCTCGCCTTTTTTGCAAACTTTCTCGCCTCTCTTTTTGCACCAACGCCTTTCGCCTCTCTTTTTTGCACCAACGCCTTTCTCGCCTCTCTTTTTTGCACCAACGCCTTTCTCGCTTCTTTCCTTTCCCAGCCTTGTCATCGCTCTTTCCCTCCTTTTTCTCCAACCCTTTTCTCGTCTCTCTTCCCCACTTTCTCGTCTCTCTTCCTCTTTTCTCCTTTCTTTTTTCCCTACCTCTTTCCCGCCTTCTTTTTTCTCTCCACTCCTTTCCCGTCTTTCTTCTTCCCCTTCTGTCATTTCTCGTTTTTTTTTCTCCTACCGCTTTCTCGTCTCTTTTTCATTTCCAGTAACTTTTTTCACGTTTTACTCTTGGTCATCCCTTTTTTCCACGCCTTTCCGGTTTACACTTTGTCAAAATGAAATGGTCGACATAGGACCGGTCTTCACTCTAATCACAAAACAAAAAATAGGTCGGGTGTACACTCAGAAAAATCGCCGCCAGTGTCCTAGTTTACCCTTACAGAAAAAAAAAATGAATTTCGACGTGGGTCCTGTTTATACTTGAATTTTCAATTATCCACCTGTATAGTTACCCCTTTTTGTGAAGGGTGGGGGGTGGTCATGTCCCCTCTTCAGGAGATGCAGTCACTGTATCCTAAATCCAGCTGTTTTATGTATTTTGTACAGATTACCTATTTTATTACGACTAAATGAGACATTTCGCCGCCTTGAAAACTTGACTTTTCATTTTGAGTCTGTCACAGTTTTTATTGCTTGTAATATTAGTCACGGAAACAAAATATCAGAACAATGACGTTATACACGAGTCTGACAGTTGTTGATTGTATTCTTCCTTCCTTCCACACACACTTTTATGCTCGTTGTATCGGTGAGCAAGTGCAATCGACTGGCAACTGATAAATATAGGAATGAAACCACTTGACAGGCGGGTCAATCGTTTCTAAGTCCCCACATTTTTGTTGTTGCCTCCCTTAGTTTATCGTTGCCCCTCTTCCGACACGTCAATATTCTATTAGACGCCTACACACTAAAAAATCCTTGAAAATCGTGATCTTTATTCCATAAGCATTGGTTAGTGCCGATAGATGAACGTCTTCTCTCCCTCCCGTTTATGATATGACTGAAAAAATGAAATTAACCCACAACCTAGTATATTGACACAACAAGCGCCGTACTTAAGAATCTGCAATGATATTGGTCCTGGCCTAGCATCTCAGTTTTCATCACTTTTTCATTGTCGTAAGGTAGCCTCCCTTTGCCTTTTCTATAAATGTTTTCATGGTAATTGTTCTGATAAGCTTTCCTCTTTAGTATCTCGACTTTTCGAATAGTATTTATAGTAATAGTACAGTACTAGATTTGTTGCTAAGTCTCATCATTTTACAGTTGAAATTGCTAGATGTTCTATGCTAACAGTTTCTTCTTTCGCACTTCTCGCTTGTGGAACTCTCTTCCGGTCTCTTGCTTTTCCGTCAACGTTGATCATCAAAATGTTAAATGCAATCTCAATCGTTATCTTCTGTCTTCTTAATTCCTGTTCATTTATTGTTCTCTTGTGGGAGTTAGAAGATTATCAGTTATAGATTACGCGTTTTCGCACCATATATAGTCAATTTCAATTGCTATCTTATGTCTTCTTAATTCCTGTTCGTTTATTGTTCTCTTTCTTGAATAATATTTTCTTTTCCTTATATTCTTTCATACTCTGTAGCCCTCTTGTGTCTTAGTGGCTTTATTGCCTTGCTTGGGATTAAATGATTTCAAACCATGTTCAATCCTTCATGGCAATTCTTTGGGCCCACTTTCTCTCCAAGTAACATTCGATTGGTGTAAAATTTCGAACAAATATCCATTTCTCCAAATATTTTCATGTCCGTGGTTTTGATGAGCCTACTTCTTTAGAAATTATTAAATGTAACCGGAAGTTAGATTCTGATAATTTCTCCTCACGCACTTCTCACCTGTAGAACTCTCTTTCAGCTTCTTGTGTGATAAAGGGACCTCAAAGCATTAATTAAACAAAAAACAAAAGGGAGAAAGAAAGAAAACTGAAGAGGAGAGACACTACTAACTGAACGATAATTGTTGAAATTCGCAGGAAAGTGGATTGAAAAATTGAGAAGAAAATTAAACACGAAATGCGTTGAGAAATTATGTTTCAAAATAATAAAATGGAATCCCGAATACAGTGAGCCCCCCGTATTCACGGGGGTTAGGGATCAGAAACGGCTGTGAATAGTTAGAATCCGCGAATACTTGTAACTCCCCTCTCCCTTAAAAGTACTTATAAGTACCTATTTTGATTGTTAAAACCCCATATGCCTTAAACTTTCATCCTAAACACTTTAGAAACATTTCAGACCATTTTAAAAACATTTTTGAAAAATAGTATTGGCGACCATACACTTAACGTAAATTTTCTTTCATACGTACAATAACCGTTTTTAATTGTGCATAGATCGATACAGCCATTAAAAATACTGTATAAAATATGTGTAACAAGACATAAGATATAAAGTTCAAAGCATTTTCTAAAAACAGAACTGTAATGACGCCCCTAGACTTAGCATAATCCACTTTTAAGACCCCAGCCACAGCCCCTAACAAGGAACAAAACCCAAGCACTACGCATGTTTTTGAGTTTGTTTTTACAATGAAGATGTACAATTTTGCCATAAAATGGGCTGTCATGTTTTAAATAACAGGAAAATAATACAACAATATTTTAAATATGTACTATGAAAAAATATGCGAATCGAGGGAGTTCTCAGCGAATAATTTGTACATGTTCTTCAGAAAAACACGCGAATATTCGAGGTTTCCGTGAATAACATGTACATATGTTCTAAAGAAAAATCAGCGAATGTGTGAAGACGCGAACACGAATAGGCGGGAGCTCATTGTAGTTCCAAGGAGAATCGAACCTAAATTTAACTAGACGAAATTCAGTAAGATTGAGCAAAACCAAGACTACCCGTCCTTCCCCACTTCTCGTCGATGAGAAAGAGATAATTAATGCATAATCGAAGATGTCGGTCCTAGAAAATAGAAAAACATATGTTGTCGATAAAGAAAACGGGCGGTCACCGAAATAACATCTAAAATAGTTCTGGACCAGGAAAAACAGATAGATTAGCGTCTAAGATTGGGGACAGATTCGTTCATTTTAATTTCGCTGATATTCGTCAAATTTTTATGGCCGACATTATTTTAGATTCTTTTGAATACAAGTGATAAAGAAAAATTAGTTACTAGCCCTAGAGTGACTAATTGCTAGTGTTCCCAGTTCTACCCTGACCCGGGTAGTGGCACCTGTTAGAGTCCCAGCTATGGGAAAATAGTTAACCCCAAAACTGGAGTTAAAACACTATGAAAGTGTAAAAATAGGTTTTAATACCAACAATACATTTTTGGAAAAAAATATTAGCAGCAATAAAAATTAAATAATCCATTGTGGTTGATATGCCGTGAACCACTAACTAATGGAACAGACTCTTAAAAGACTGTTTCTCCGATCTCTACAATCTTAAAAAAAAATTATAAATACGTTAATAAATACGTTTCTGGTAAAATATCTTACCAGCAATAGATTTTTTGAAGAAGAAAATATTAGCAGAAATTAATTTTGGAAAAAAATATATATATATCTTACCAGCAATTTTGTCGGCATTAAATGTGTTATTTAACACCGACAATATTGTCGGCATTAAATAACCCATTGAAGTTGATATGCTGTAAAGCAAACCAAACCCAACCCACCTTACTGCTACTAGAATCCACATCGTTCACCCAGACCTCCTGACCAAGACCTTCTGAAGACCAGAACGTAGAAATTTAAATGACTACTAATACAGGCTGTAAACTCCAATAGGAGATCCCAGTGTTCTTTATGACAGTAAGTGAGAAGGGGGGTTAAAATCGTTGTATACAACAAATCCTATATAAATCAAATCGTTGTTACATTTTTTTAATCCGAGTTAATTCTTTATTCCAAAGAATTTTTGCGTAGCTCCTCACCGTCGATCTGTTCTTCACTTCAGTTTACTTCTTCAGCAATTTTCTCACCTTCTGAGATCAAAAACACAATGTCACAGAGGAATGAATGATCACGAAGGAGACAAACGCTAGTTAGATCGATAGAACCATGCTCATCAACATGATACCAGCGACAAATCAGCAACGCGTTAACGAGTGAGGAATCAGCGAGATGGTAACCAAGATGGTTTGAAGAAACCTGATGACCAACGCGGGCGGAGTTATACTTGCTTTCTTGTCAACTTCTTCTATGTGTCATATCCCTTCAGGGCATGGGCGATCATGGCTCTCTACAACATCCTGTCCTTTGTAGCCCATAGTAAAGTTTGTCTTATTTCTGTATCTCGTAGTCCCTGTTCTGCAAGTCATTTACACAGGTTAATTTTTATTAATAATATAAATATTAATTAATAATATATATATATATATATAGTAATAATAAAAAAATAAATAAATAGATTCTTCTTATTCCATTCAGGACGTTGGCGCTCATGGCTCTCCACAATTTCCTGTCTTTTGTATCTCTTGGTAAATTTTGTCTTTTTAATGTAACTCCAGAAACACTGTTCCATCAGCCATTTACGCAAGCTCGTTAGGCAGAGGTTATGCGCTTCTTTCATCCGTCCGGCTTGCCTTCAATGTCCTGTGAGTGTCAACTTTTCTGAGCCTTTTTTCCTGATTATGTTCCATAGAAATATCCACCGTCTCTTTCTTGTATTAAGTATGTGTCCTTTTTGTTTCCATTTTCTCTAAATCATCTAACATTCACTAGGAGGACTGTTATTATATAACAGTTCAGTACTCTTTTCTGATAAAATATTTCCCACATATTTAAATTTGTGTTTACTCACCCCCACCCACCCACAACACAAGGTCGGTTTAATGTGGGGAGCCCGAGCATGTACACCTGGGCTAGGAACAAGAATTCCCGTCGGTTGCGCTGGCCTTTGTGTGAGCACCGATCCCTCTCTCTGGTGCAATGAGAGGGCACGGCCTCAGGCAGCTCTTCTCCAGGGATTGGGCACCTCTCAGTATAATTTTCCTCAGTCCTTTGACCGAACCACCCCTAAGAGCACTCTGCCCAAAGACAGAGACGCAACTGAGAGATGATGAATAAGGCATTACAAATAACTCGAGAGAGTAATTTTTCCAGATATTCAAATTGTTGTGCTTATTTGATTTTGGTATCTTTAATTTGTAATTTGCATGTTTACCTGTTCCTTTTGCTAACAGCCATGCAATTGATGGTTAGTCCTTTCTTCTTGCTTTCCTTCATTTCCTTTCTGTGTC